TTTCAAGATTCTTACCCGACTGCTTTACTATTGGCTTGTAGTCTTGATTAATTGAGAATGATAGAAAAGCGTTTATTGTGTTAACGTTCATTTTGAGGAGATTCGTTTTGGTATCGTATCGTGAATTCTGTAATAAAGAATAATATTTATAGAGGAAATTTTTCTAACGTAGTGGTTTCCTCAGGTTGAAAGACATTTTCATACAACGTCAACGTAAGTTGAGAGATAATGAAGACAATGAAAAACAAAACAAAATGTATTTGCTGTTAATATCAGCTCATCAGACTCTACCTATATATTGACTACACCAAGTTATTTACAAAGGAGGAAGATGAAAAGATAACTCAGCGAAAGAATGGGGTACAATGAAAAAAATAATCAGTTTAAAATATTTTCTTTTTAAAACCAAAATGGTGTGAAATGCTCTAACCAAGAGGCTAAAGCCAATAAGACGCAATTAGGATGAAGGAAAATCAGAAAACATTACTGAGGAGAAAGAACAATAAAAAAAACAGAATTCCTGAAGACAGATGACGATTGACGTTGCATTTAATTTTTTTTTTTTTGTAGATTGTACTTGATAGGAAGATATACAGATAGTATAATATATAACGGCTCGGAGAAATCGGAGAGCCAAGTTCGTACACCATTATATTCCCTTACACGCAAATACCCTTGGGAAAGATATGAATCTATCTCTTCTCACCCAGCTATGGATTAAATAGCAGAACAGACTGGGTCCTATAGCCTTGGATGGCAACTAGTCTGCCGCAGAAAGAAATGGCAGCCTAGTGCGAGGAAATCTTCTGCCTAGTTATTTATGAATCGAAATGTGAACGCGCATGCGTGTATCACGGATGGCATTTAACTGACTAAGTTGGCACGAAAACAAGAAACTGGAAGAGATTCCCATAGGCAAGAAATGCGAGAGAAGAAACTATTAGAATAGAACTGCCGGCTACATTTGGTCATTTCAACAGTAAAATGATGGGACCTAACTGCCAATCTAGTACCCCACTTAAATTTATGAAGTAAAGTGAAAATCTAATAATAGTAAGAAATTAACGGCACGGAAAAATAGGACTAATATGAAATTCTTCAGACAATAGAAATGGGGGATCTATTTTCTATTGTTATTAAATAATAGACTCGTCCTCCACAGAATGACTTCATATGCATATAATACTTAAACTGACTCCTATATTCACAGCTATTACAATTAAGGAAGTAACGAAATAACCTGTCATAATGCCACTCAGTCGCAGTGTGTTGCTGGGAGTGAAAAAGAATAAGAAAACTTTAAGAGAATGAACTGGAAACACAGTCCTAAACAGGAAACAAGGGATAAACCTCTACTCCTGTTCAAAAAACCAGGGAGGGGTGTGAACAGATGATAGGTAAATATATCTACTCCTATTGATTAATTCAATCCAAGCAAGGCGGTAAAGGCACTAAGACACAAGGGGCTATTCGGATTGAAAGAGTGAAAAGAGTTTAGAAGGAACAGGAAACCCAATCCTAAACAGGAAACAAAGGATCAACCTCTACTGCTGTTCAAAAGACCGGGGTGGGGGTGAACTGGATGATAGGTAAATATACCTAATCTTATTGGCCAATTCACCCCCAAGCAAGACGATAATATCACTAAGACAAGAGTTGGAGTGAAAGAGAGTGAAAAGACATTAGCTGCAACCGGAAACCCAGTTCTAAACAAGAAACAAGGGACATAACTCTACTTCTGTTTTGATGATAAAAGGAAACTATGTGATATCAATAACTTCAGGTATGGCAGTGAATGCTGAACAATCTCCCCACAGATGAAGAAAAAACTGGAAGAAATGTGGTTATACAGAAGGCTACTGAGAATTCCATGGAAATCAGAAATGTCGGCGTATTTTAAATGCCTAGTATTATTTTAAATATTTTAATATTATTTTAATATTATTTTAAATGTTTAGGATTATTTTAAATATTTAATATTATTTTACTATCATTTTAATATCATTTTAAATGCCTAGTATTATTTTAAATATTTTAATATTATTTTAATATAATTTTAATATTATTTTAAATGTCTAGTATTATTTTAAATATTTTAATATAATTTTAATATTATTTTAAATGCCTAGTATTATTTTAAATATTTTAATATTATTTTAATATAATTTTAATATTATTTTAAATGTCTACTATTATTTTAAATATTTTAATATTATTTTAATATAATTTTAATATTATTTTAAATATTTTAAATTATTTTAAATATCCTAGTATTATTTTAAATATTTTACTATTATTTTACTATTATTTTAATTTTATTTTAAATGCCTAATATTATTTTAATATTATTTTAATGTTATGTTAATATTATTTTAAATGTCTGATATTATTAGGTTCTCAAACGTTTTCAATAATTTTCCCTAATTTTAGAATATTATATAATAATTCTTTGGGTAACAATTTGTTATGTAATAACAACAGAAAGGCGATCCCAACTTTGTGTACAATAGAAACTTTTTTTCTTTTTTTTTTTTAATCAATACGCGTTTACTTATTGTCATTATCGCCTTGCTTCGGGCGAAATGATACAAAAATGATGTTAGTATTTAACTAATTTTACAATTGCATTGTTATTACTAACAACTAGCAGTAGAGCCCGGCGTTGCCCGGGGATGTAACAGTAAGAGATAGATCAAGTATCGACCATCATAAAGACTGAAAAATGAAATTGACAAAGATTATTGTTTAAGGTTGACGGACACGCATGTCTTAATTAGTGTGTGTGTGTGTTATTTTTTTTACGAATTGGTCAAACCCAAACTCAAACAAAAACATTGTTTTCAATCGTTATGGATCTACCGATTAAATAGAATTTTATTATAAACAATTGTCTTGTAAATGGAATTTTTAAAGCATTCTGAATGTAAAAAGTGTGAAAGACAATAAGAAACACTACCTGCAAAAAAAAAAGTGAAGTTTTGTAGAAATCGATTGAAAAATGTAGGAAATCCGATCCCATATATAAACGAACACACACACACACAACCTGGGTTTTATAATAAGTATAACTAGATATGAGTTGTCCCTCTTTCATTCCGCGAAAGCGATGCCTCTTAATCGTGTTTTCAAATTGTTTTCGTGCAAAAACAATTGTGTTTTTCCAATTTTTGGCGCTGTCACAACCACCGCAAGGTAATTTTACCTAGTCCTGTGAAGATTTGTTAAAATCGGTTGAAAAATGTAGGAAATCCGATCCGATATATAAACGTACAGACACACACACACAACCTGGGTTTTATAATAAGTAAGATAAGATTCAGTTTAACAGAATACAACTTCTGTTGTAGGGAACGAAGTGATAAGCTTTAGTATACAAAGAACCGATGCACCTCTATTAAATGGACTGTTCCAGTAGGAATAGTGATTTTCTAAGCGCTGGTTAGATGTGGCACAGCGCCCAGTGAGGATCGAACTCACTACTCAGTCGTAATATGTTCAATCGAGACAAAAACATAACCATTACACCACGCCGAGATGCCCCTGTTCCAGTAGGAATATATGCATCTATGATGTTGGTCTCAGGATGGGGTGGAGAACGTGCTTTCCAGCAAGCATCCAGCATGCATCAAGATGTTTCTTCGGTTCTGACGAAGCTATGCCGAAGGGCATAGTCTCGTTTGGAGAGGTTGACAAACCCGACCCCGTGTATGCGTGGGATCGCCCCACATAAAAATCGGCCTTGTGCCATATTCTGCCTTGTGGAGAGGTCGGGTAAATACCGCCTTGCATTCCAGCAAGCATCCAGACGTCGAACTCTCTGCCTACGGGCAGAGGGGAACCCATACGAAGCTATGCCGAAGGATAGAGTCTCCTTTCTGTGGGCTAACAAACCTGACCCCGTGTATGCGTGGAAATGTTTCCCGAACTTATGGGCTCGAATCGTCCCACATAAAAATCGACCTTGTGCCACATGCCGCCTCGTAGGGAGGTCGCGTAAATATCACTATCTTTACAGCTACAGACGAACTTGTAAATATCTACTTGCATTGTTCTTGTTTTAAAATAAACCCTTATATTTTGTAAGTTGCCGTTCTAGTTATTATTTCCATAACCACTCAGGACAACATTACAAAATCTTCTTAAGTTGATATTCGGCGTTTTCTATTTATTACAGTAATCTCATGTGTTTTTTTTTTTAAATAGACAATACGATCATCTACATCCTGAAAACAGATAACCTTTTGTTTTGATTTACAAAGAAATAAACTTGTTTTATTTTTTTTTCTGTTCGTTCGGAATACACTAAGATGTAAATCCAATTACTAAGACTAAATAGATCAAAATCAATGCCATATTTACCATTAAAACTGTTTATTAAATGTAAGTTTAAGACTTTATACGTACGTCCGTTCTGATCTATTAGAAACGTCTTTCTACCTTATTCACTGCTAAATACCTGAACAATCTTCCCAGCGACAAGTGGCAAGAATAAACAATTCCCAATTTGTATCACAACAGGAAATAAGTGGTAGGATTAAACAAGGAAAACAATTATTTACTTAAAGTAAAGATAATTGTCATCTAAAACGAGACGTCACGGGAAAATGTTGGAAATATTTGACTTTAATATTTGATCAGAACAAAAGGAAGAATGGCCAATGACACAGTTTTTTTCAAAATTAATTGTGTAAACATATAGGTGTCTGATTGAGTGATTAGAATATTAGTATTCCGACCCTGAGACTCAGGTTTAAATCTCACCATCATCGATTTGTCAAGGAGGTGACTTCGTGATAGTATGAACCTGTGGAGACGAGGAGAAATATCATCTTATAGTACCGATAGGAAATACCTGTAATCCGTACTAAGTGTGGTCCTAAGCCTTCTAGGTCGACGCAACTGTTCAAGAAGAGTCTATTGTCGTGGTAGCATGAAGTCACAAGTCATTATAAACGAGGGTTTGAGCATACTGGTGTTGTTCTATTACAGATCTTGCTAGA